GGTTTCCCCCATATAGTACCTTAATTTAAGCTCCTGAGTCCCTATATTCCCCCAGTTTCCATTTCATTTTCCATTTTTTCCATATGATTCTCCATTATAGGGGGATAATAAACCCTAGATTATCCCCTATACAGTTCCTTAACAGCAACACAGGGGTCTGGCATGCTTCGATCCACTCCTCTTGATGGAATGCCCAAGCACAAGGGCACCCAGCACGTATTCGCTGGACTTCCCCCACCTGAGATTCGTACCCCAACAGGGGTTATAAAGGGTCTATATAGGGATGATGGAAGAGAAAATGGGAGGTACTATATTAGAGGGATTATATAGGGTTTATAAAGATTAGTCAAGCTGCTAAGAACCCACACGTGCCCTGAAAGTGGCGCAAGCTTGCAGATGCCATCAAGTGACCAGCAAGTTCACACCAAGGCAACACAAGCCAGAGAAGCTAAAGCTGAAGAAAGTATCACCAAGTAACGCCGACAGTTCAACAGATGCAAGTTTTAGACAGCAGGTCGACATTGCCAACGCTTGTAGGGACCCGTAACCCTAACCCGCAAACCCTAAAGGGGTTTCCATTTTCTTTTCCGTTATCCCTATATAACCCCGATATAATCCCTAATATAACCGCGCGTATATTGTAGTAGTTTCCATTTTCTTTTCCATTATCCCCATATAACCCCAATATAATCTAGCAGTTTCTGGGCCCAAGCTATGCCAAGCCACAAGTTTATTACGTAAGCAAATCGGCCACGTGCGGCTGGCAGGGACTGCCTCAAGAAATGGGCGTCCCCTGGAGGAATGGAGAGGGAAATAGGTATAACTAGCATCACTATTCTTGTTATTGTCACTCATGTTACTATGATTGGTACTGGTATTTGCTCATTGTTCTCATTATCATTTGGAGATCCCTAAAGCCTGTTGGCGTATATAAAAGGGGGGGCCGACTTTTGCAAACTCCCAGATCAGATGCAACGAGAGGCATCCAGACTCACCAGAACACTTTGAAACACACATCAACACATATCAAGCGCCCGAATGTAAGACGATTGTGGACTAATGCATACTTTTCAAACTCATCTGCTCCATAGTCTAAACTCCTAGTATCCCCCTTAATAAACCCTATAATCGTCCCTTAGATACTCCCACTATCCCTATAAACCCCCAATATAACCCCTACATATTGTAGTAGTTTCCATTTTCTTTTCCATTATCCCCATATAACCCCAATATAATCTAGTAGTTTCCATACTCCCCTATATAACCCCCTTAAAGGACTCTAGCTCATCTCCCCCTAAACCCTGAACCCTAAACCCTTAACTCATCTCCCACTTTGACCCACTTTCAAAGGGCTCCAGGCCTTGGGCCCCTGGGAGGCGACCGCCAAAGCGCCAGAGGCCGCTTGCAGCAGGGGCAGTGCCCCCGCCAGGCTTCCTCGCCCTCCTAATGGGTCCCTAGGGCTTTATATAGGGATAATGGAAAAGAAAATGGAAACTACTAGATTATAGCACAGTAACAATACAGTAATAGCACGTTTAAAATATGCTATATAATTGGGGGGAGGGGCTGGGAGGAAAGCTAGGGCAGGATCTAACTGGCAGAATGCAGATGATTGGCACCAAACTGTGCGGCACTCAAACAGCATGCATTGTAAATGTAGGTGTATCAAGTATTTGCATATGACTTTACCTACACTATCTGATCTAGTGCTCTCCGCAAGTCTGCTGTAGGTGCAGTCTATACTTATGCTCAAACACAAGGGGGGATGGACGCAGACCAGGTCCAGGGTTCATACGACAGGTCGACCATGTTTTCTTTTGCCTGTGAGACACTGGTACGTGTTCTTACAAACCCTTCTATCCGTTCGTGTTCTATACGTGTTCTTTAAGGGTCAGATACAGTGTTCTTCACGCCCCAAACCATCCTTGCCCTGCTGTCTGGCCAAAGAAAAACCCCGAATTTTGACCCCCCGCCCACACCCCTTGTTGCAAGCTAACGCTTGGTAAGAAACTCGAGCTAGACCCGAAGGCTAGCTTTCGTGATAATGAGGATGATAGCAATGATAACAATCACAATCCCAATAATGACTGACAACAATGGGCCAATAGGCCAAGCGATTCGGTCTTCCTCTGCGCTTCCAATGATTAAGATTGATACCCGGCTAAGCAAAACATATGGTATATTCCTGAGGGAGACCAGGATATAGACCCCAATCCACTGCAATCCTTATTCTAGGTAACCTACAATATGTACACTTGTGTTTGCCCATAAACCCTTACATAATCCCACTTCCCACTTCATGCTCCATCTTCTTTTCCACGTGATTCTCCATTATCAGGTGTAATTATCCCTAAACCTAAATCTTAGCTTCCCACTTTCCTTTCCATTATCCCTATATAACCCCTACATTATCTCCTCTATAACGCCTATATAACCCTAAATGGCTGCTTCCATTTTCTTTTCCATTATTACATTTTGAAAATCTCAGCTCGGCACCTGAGACCAGGGCTGCGCTTCCTCCGGGCATAGTCTTCATGGTTGGGTTTAGGGGTTTGGGGTCAGGGTTAATGATGTGATTCTTGCAATGAATTTATTATCATTCTTCTTATGTTTGTATGTTGTGAGCATTGCTATTTTTACTCGTGTTCTTCATTATGATAAATATTTAAGTCCCTTAATTGTTGCTACTACTATTATTGTTGCTCTCCCATAGATTTGTTCAGATGTAGCTGTAGGGTTATGCAAGGATTTTAATGTAAGTATATATGGCGCTTATAGAGGGCTCGATGGTGATACTTGTAGCTGAAAACTGCCTTCCCTACTTCATCTGAATGCCTTCTTCTGTCTGTGGCACATGCCCATGTCATGCCACTCACTACACTGCCCAGCAACCAGCGCCTTGTCAGCTGCGCCAGGCAATGGCGACGTGATTCGCAGCGCAGTGCCCCGCCGACGGCAACATCCTCATGTCTCCAGCAGAATGTCTGGACTTTTCTTGATACTTTTCTGTTTTTCGCGGCGGTCTGACCCGCAGCTCAATCCCAGCTGAACCTTGTTCTTCACAAACAGCATGTTACGGCGCTACCAGCAACAGAGAAATGCGAAGCGCGGCAACCCCAGCTGGTCATGCAAAGTTGCTCTAGACATAGTCATAGCCAAGCAACTGCGCCGCTTTGCAAAGGCCTCTCAACGTTTTCCAGAAAGAGCTTCGAACTGCTTCTACAGCACTTGACCCCCCTCTCCTCCTACCAGCGGCTTGTACTAGCCAACACAACACAATCGCCCTGAGCAATACGAATACAAAACGACACCAATACTAAGACTAACTCCTGGTCTGATAATACTAGTGCGAATGCAGTACCGACACAAATAAAAAAAACGCTAGAGCTGGCACCATTACCACAACAAACACCGCCACCACTACCCCGACTACTTCCCACCACCGCCATCACTACAACCACAACCGCAACCAAAACCACTACTTCTTACTACTAACATTTCTACCCTGCTACTACGACGATAATGGCGACGACATCATAGTTACTACAACTACTGCTGTGGCGGCGACTACGACTACTACTACTACTACTACTACTACCACTACCACCACTACTACTACTACTACTACTACTACTGCTACTACTACTACTACTACTGCTACTACTACGACTACCACTAGGACTACTATGACGACTTCTACGACGATGACGACGACGAGGACGAGGACGACGACCGCCACGATGACTATCCCTGCCACCGCCACCGCCCCCACCCCAATGAGTGACGCTGCTTGCTGCTTTTGCACGATCATGAGGGCATTACCAGAATGAGCTCTGATATCACCTTCAACAGTTCAGCCATGACACATGTTATTGTTATAGATATGTACGCCCTTTACTGGTTTCGCTGCTTTTGAAAGGTGACGCCCATGACCCATGATGAGCAAGCTTGGGCCGGGAGGCTAGGCATTTCCGGCGTCCTTTACCCAGGCAACGCAGGAGCTGCCGAAGCGCATTAACCGTCATGAGGCTCCACTAAGCATTATGTGGCTTTGCTTTGCATGTCCAGGTTGCACCCTGCAAAACGTGCGCTGCCAAAGAGTTCTTGCTGGGCCCAAGAAGTCTCCGTCTACTTGTAATTGGGTCTTGTCTGTTTAGTCGAGCGGTCCAACGTTGTTCAGTGGAAGATATTCTGCCAATCTCAGTTGGACAAACACACTGCTCATCCTACCTTTCCCATTCTGCCACGAACCGTGAAACATGGACGGCATGTCTGACACTATATATAAATTATCTGCATCCCAGCCAGTGGCAGCAACAACATGCACACAAACGCAAATGGGCAGTTTGCACTGCAGGCTCGTGCTGGAACGAGGATTGCTCAAATGACTCGCTCTCAGGGCAAAGCAATTGCAGCAGCACACAAGCCAACATAGTAATAGTAATTATGATAACAAGAGTAATAATAATGAAAGCAATACCAATAATTATAATAGCAATCGTAAGAAAAGTGATATAAAAGCTGAAAGTATGCAGGGCAACATGGGAACATTGGCCCCAGACACCCTGTGGCCCTGGTGATGTCGCGCCATCACCTGAGACTTGCTTCAACAGAGACATGGTTGCTCATAGGTGTATATATACTATATATACATATATGTGGGGTCCCCGCGGAGTATATAGGGTCTTATGTAACAACGGTTAGATGGGGATAATGGAAAAGAAAATGGAAACTACAATTTAGGGCTTAGGGTATATCAGCCAAGAATGCAAAATCAAATGGAAGAGAAAATGGATACATGGACACAGGGATTATACAGGGGCTTCCAGGGATTAGTGCCTCCCAAAAGTAGGGGTACCGGAGTATGATTTTGGGGGGCTCCCTTCATAAGGACTATGGTAAAGATTGTGGTTTATACAATTACAAGGGTCCCCCTATCTTGAGAAAATGACATGTGCATGTATATGTATATGCACAAAAGTTTGAAACTTATGCTTTGTATTGTATGTATGAATGTATGACTTGAATGAAGGCACGAACAAATGAATGTACGTACGTGCTCATGACATGCTATGCAAGCATGCATACATACATGTGCATACACAAACGTATATATAGATGGAAACACATAATACGTGACACATGACACACAATATATGCATAATTTTACATTTTACATCAGTCATACATACATACATACATACATACAGACAGACAGACAGACATCCATGCATGCATGCGTGAGTGCGTGCATGCATACCTACATACACACACATACATCCGTACATACGTTCATACGTTCATACGATTTCATACGTACGTACATATTCACATTTATACTACGACTCAGTACTTTTCATCGGCCTCTAGGCGTGGCAGATCTGCGTGTGCCAGCTCCTTTCAGGGAATCCCCGCAGCTCTGAGTGCATCTGACTCGCAACTCGCGACATGATCTTTGGATGTTTTTGGGCGAGCTTAGAGCGCTTACTGTGCCTGAGTTCGTAGAGGGAGTGGGGCATAGAGCCCGTTCCACCTGCATCACCGCAAACTGAGAACAGTCAGCATCTTTTCCTTCAACACGTCCAGCAGCTCCCTCTGCCTCAGCAATCGCCTCTGCACGCTGCTTTGCTTCAGCAGCCTTAGGGTAGGAAGAACAGGAGGTGAAAGGTTGAAGGTCAGCACACCGCTTGTAAAACATGTTTAGGTTCGGACCATACCAGAGATCTGGGGGGGCGCTGGGGTCGTCGCAGCCTCAGACATGGTTCTGCAGACTGACTACAGTAGACGCTCTGCAAAATGAAGCAAGGGCATGTTCCAAGTCCGTCCAACACGTTCCAGTAATCTGAATTCTGAAGCACCACGCTCGCGAGGAGTGCCAAAACTGAAAGCTTGGTCTCGTGCAAGCGCATCGACCCCGCAAAGCTTGAGCTCCTGAAGCACATGGAACTGCGGCCAGAATGAAGATCAACGGAACAGGAGAAGAACATTGAAATCGAAACGACTACTTGGGGTTTGCAGCGCAGCGCGCAGCAAGATGTGATCGGCAGGAAGGGGGGGTATTGCTGAGCGATGGGCAACATGTGTTGGCTTCTACAGCCCTAACGCATGCCTGACTGATGCGCAAGGCCTTCTTTTTTGGGGGAGCAATACTGTACACTGTACAGGCTGCAGAAGCTTGCTTGCTCCTACGGCTTCATGTTGCTATGGTCTCGACATTCTGCTTCCTCAAGCTTCTTCTCGCCTCTCCGAAGGGTGAGACAGCCCTGTGCAAGCGTCCTCCTGGGACGGTGAGATTCCACACTTGGCTACTCTGCTCATTGGTTGCGATCCCTGTAGCGACGATCCTCATGGCGAGCATCCTCATAGCGACGATCCCGATGATTCACATCACGATCATCCTCGTTGCGGCGATCCTCGTTTTGCCGATCCTCATAGCGACGGCCACCAGCGCCACGATCAGCACCACGATCGGCGCCACGATCGGCGCCACGATCAGCGCCCCGATTCCTGGTTGGATGCCGGATCGTGGCTGGGTAGCCAGCAAAGGACATGCGCCGCTTCCTCCTGCGCTGTTCGCTCAACGTAACAACCACGGAGGCCCTGCAAACAGAGCATGCGGCGTGTCGTAGTGAGCGATCAGCCTTCCGGCTGGCCCGGACAGCATCAGCAATGCAGGCAGTGTGGAAGCAATGCCGACAGTTCACCAGCTGGACCCATGTCTCTGCCACATTGGCATCGCTTGGGGTCGTTAGGAGCTGCTCCAGTTCTAATCGCTTCTGACACGCGGAGCCACGAACAGGTTCCAGGCAAATGACACAAGTCTCCCAATTTTGGGCTGGCTGAGGGACTGAGGCTGGGGTGCGACCACGAGCTGTCGCCACCTTTCCCTGAAAGTCTGCAACAGCAGCTTTGAAGTGGCGGCCGAGAATGGCCTCGATGACATCCTGGAAGCAAACGCTATGCGCATGGTATCGCATGGTGCATGATGCAACGATAACAAGCCTGAATGCCGTCCCATGTGCTGCTGCATTATGCAGCATGTGGGTCTCTTCTTTATGTAGCTAATCTGCAAGTTCCCGACTAGTGCTAGTGAGACTCTCTGCCTTGCGATGGACAATGCTGCAAAACCATCCGATATAGTATAGTGGTTTCCATTTTCGTTTCCATTACCCCTATATAACCCCAATATATTCCCTAATATACTATAGTAGTTTCCATTTTCTTTTCCGTTATCCCAATATTAGCCCCAATATACTAATGATCATGATCAGGCCTCCTCCCCTGGCTGGATGTTCAGGGTCTGGTAGAGCTGCCTGTGGCTGTCCCATAGGAGCACAGGGCCCAACTGAAGCACTTTTGGAGCTTAGACATGAATCCAGAAAGGCACAACTCCATAGCTTTGCCTCGTTCCCAACACGGGTTCCTACAGTTACCCACACCCCCCCTTATTTGCCCGCAGCATCTCCGTGTTATGTGCGCATTCAACGGCATAGCATCCGTATAGATACTTCCAGAACTGCAAGATTACTGATATTTACAGCGAAACAAGATACTAGCGAATGCATGCCGGCACACATAATAACGTTCATTTCGACCACACCCACAACAAGTGCATCCATGCCGGCACCCATAATAACCTTCACTTCGACCACATCCACAACCACCAAAACACTGCAATACACAGCACATTCTGATGTGCGGGCATTTGGCGCGGGCAAATAGAGGGGGGGGGGGGCG